GAAAGCAGAGAGAGTGCAGAAACTGCTTTGCAATGATAAGATCTTCATTCTCGCGATCAACACACTGTCATCTGCTCAATGCTCATCACGGCAACATTTTATGTGATGGGAATAGATCTAAATACTTTAAAAACATCTCACGATTCGTTAATCTCGATAGCTGTTATAGTAAAAACGTATAATAGCAGTAGTAAAAGTATTCGGGAGAGGGTTTCACATGTAATGCGTTGCTATTTCATATGCAAGCATGTCAGCCAATCACAGCAGTGGGCGCGGTTACACTGAATCCCACAGCCAATCACAGCAGTGGGCGCGGTTACACTGAATCCCACAGCCAATCACAGCAGTGGGCGCGGTTACACTGAATCCCACAGCCAATCACAGCAGTGGGCGCGGTTACACTGAATCCCACAGCCAATCACAGCAGTGGGCGCGGTTACACTGAATCCCACAGCCAATCACAGCAGTGGGCGCGGTTACACTGAATCCCACAGCCAATCACAGCAGTGGGCGCGGTTACACTGAATCCCACAGCCAATCACAGCAGTGGGCGCGGTTACACTGAATCCCACAGCCAATCACAGCAGTGGGCGCGGTTACACTGAATCCCACAGCCAATCACAGCAGTGGGCGCGGTTACACTGAATCCCACAGCCAATCACAGCAGTGGGCGCGGTTACACTGAATCCCACAGAGACACGCCCCTTCAAACAGAGTGTTCAAATCAGAGGCTAAAAGCAGGCTAGGAAAAATGCCATTTATTTATAAATTATGATTATTTTTTATCTAAAAAACATACTAACATTATAAGGGTAACCCAGGAAACATTATAAAATAATAAAAAAAACATTCTAGGGCACCTTTAAATCAGCAGATTAAGTCCAAAACTGACAACTGCGCACAAATTGTGTTTTTTGCCCCAGAAATGATGAACCAGTGAAATATGAGTAACTGGTAGTCCATGTTTGCTTTTCCTCTCAGCTGTTTGTTTTTCTGTGCAACATAATCCTGTAAATGCCTTAATCAAGGTTAGAGTTCGTTCTTATACATCTATAACTAGTGCTGCCACTAACGACTAATTTTCTAACGACTAATCTTTCGACTAATTTTTCGATTAGTCGACTAATCTAAACGACTAATTAAAAAAAAAATCAAGTGTTTATTTCGTTGTGTCCATTTTATTTTGAACTCAACTGAAGGGCCAAAACATAAAATATCACCTGTTCAAAAACATTATGTATTAACAATCTAAGCATTAAGTATCTGCATTTCCATTAGGCTATAGGCTACCATATTAGTCAGAGTCCTAATCTAATCCTCTAATATCAAACATGTATGTATTACTTAAATTAGCTCTTTGTTCTGCCTTAAAAAATGTACAGTAAGCTAATAATGATTAATTTATGTACATTTCTGAAAAGCATAACTGATAACATCACTCTGAATAGTAAAGTAGATGCAATGCATTTTCTGTGAAAAGCGCTATACAAATAAATTGGAATTGAATTGAAAGAGTCTGGACTAACGTTAGCCCACTATGAGTCGCACTGAAAGCAGGCAGGCACGCAGTTATGTAGCTCGCGTTTACACTTGCGTGCATGGCGGGCCCGTGCCGCGGTTCGCGTGAATGTGAAAGCAACACGGACTCGGGAGCGCTTGTTCAGGAAGTTAAGTAACCTGCCCATGCGTTTTAGCTGATTATGATGCATTTAGTTAAATAAAACACATGTAAGGGATGATAGTGATGATGATTTACCTTGGATACGCGAGAGTTGAGTCTGCAGTGTATTCGCGCATTGCGCGTGCAATCAGGGCAACACATTTGGAAATCCACTGTCTCCTCAAAAGAGTCCGTTTGAAAAACACAATATATTGACCCGCGTTCTGTTTTCTATCATGCGCCGTGCACGTTTGCGATGGCATAAGATGCATGCAAACTCAACAGGGTTCGATAGAATTGAGTGTGAAACCAGACCAACGCTGCGGGGGGCGCCGGGAACAATCGCGCTCGCGCTCGGACTGCAGCAAACGAGCCCACTGTGAAAGCTCCGTCTCCTGCCTCCGCAATTTTTCATATCAAAGCAGTGAAGGCGGGCGGGAACGTGAAGAAAAATGATAGCAGATAAACCAGCAGGGCGCGCACGGCGCACAGACTGGTGTGTGGAGGTGAATTACAGTGAGCCGTTTGTGACGGGAGACCAAAAATAAATAGCGGTCAATAGTAAAACAATTGCCGTCGACTAATTTGCATGGTCGATTACGTCGACTAAGTCGACTAATCGCGGCAGCACTATCTATAACATGTTCCTCATATCCTGACGGTGTGTGTGAGCCTGTGTGTGTAACACTCGTATCTCCAGACCCTGAACACCGCACAACACGTCACATATTAAACACATTGTATTGCACTTATGATACTTTGATGATAAATAAACGTGCTTTAACTGTCATTAAACTAATGTCACACTGTAACTGTGTAAGACACGTGTGTGTGCCGTCACTGCTGAAGTGTGTGTGTGTGTGTGTCTGTTTGTTCTCCATTCAGGACAATAACTGGAAATCTGTGCCGAGAGAAACTGGAGAACAGAGAGCAGATCTGTGTCAAACTGGGTCAGAGGTCACACACACACACACACACACACTCTCTCTCGACTCACACACACACACTCACACTAATGGACTCACACACACGCTCTCTCGCACACACTAATGCACTCACACACGCACACACACACGCACACACTAATGCACTCACACACTCTCACACACACGCACACACTAATGCACTCACACACACACACTCGCTCTCAAACACACACACACTAATGCACTCACACACAAACACACGCTCACTCACTCAGACACACACTCTCTCTCAAACACACTCACACGTCTATTGTTGAAGTGTAATGAGTGAATAAGAGCTGCTCCTGTAAACACACACAGATCTGTGATTCATTCTGGAGGATCACATGATCATCGACACACACTATACCTCACAACACACACACACACTATACTTCACAACACACACTATACCTCACAACACACACACACACACTATACCTCACAACACACACACACACACTATACCTCACAACACACACACACACTATACCTCACAACACACACACACACACACACACACACACTATACCTCACAACACACACACACACACACACACTATACCTCACAACACACACACACACACTATACCTCACAACACACACACACTATACCTCACAACACACACACACACACACACTATACCTCACAACACACACACACACACACACTATACCTCACAACACACACACACACACACACACACACACACACACACTATACCTCACAACACACACACACACACACTATACCTCACAACAACAGAGATGAAACCCTGGAATGAGGTCTGGGAATGATGAAAACATGATGACGTCCATCCTGCTGGACAGGAAGTGAGGAATAATCAGACGGGCGTTCACACACACACACACACCTGTGTTGCAGACACACAGACAGGTCTCCATAGCAACAGCGTTTGGGCTCCTGAAACCAACATCAACAAAAGCCCGAGACCTTGAGTGAAGCAACACAGCGATGAATGAACTTCCTGTGTGTTTGATCAGTGTTTCCTGTTGAGATCAGAGCTCACTGTGGAAATGGTCTCGTCTACAGGACCTCAGGGAGACACACGAGCCCTTCACAGGAAGTGCTCTCAGCTGAACAGGAAATCGCTGCATTTGTGCAGAAGTGAGTGATGTGAGGGGCTTAGACTTTCTATTCTGGTACATATTCCTAAAATACAGTGAGTGTAAGTGTGTGTGTGAACAGTCATATTTCATCCAAATATCAAAAGACAGATATATTACAAACCCTGAGAGCATTAAGATAAATTCCACTGACATTATTTTCACTATAGTTGAGCACATTAATGTAATAAAGTGGGAATCCTCACGGACGCTCCCGACTCTCTGTGTGTGTAGAGAACCAGCATGAATAAAATGCAAAAAGCAGATTAGCAT